AGGGGACCCAGCCATGGCACCCTAAGCAGCACAAAGGGACCTTATTTTACCAGCAAGTGGCTTTTCGGCACCCTTCGGCCTCTGCTGGGGAGGACACAGGCAGTGGAGCCTGGTGACGGTCCCCAAGCTGGTGGTGTCCCCTATTCCTGTTGCTGCTCTTCCAGCTGGCTCGGCGTCCGTGGGTGACCTTGGCGTGTCCTTGTCCCCGTCGTCCTCATCCCCATCCTCCCGCCTGGTGTCACAGAGGGCTGGGGGCATCGTGACCTGCTCCCTGGTCTAGGGGGGAGCCTCTGCTGGCCCTGCCCAGGGGAAGGTGGCCCTGGGACGTTGGCGCTGCCCTCCAGTGATGGCAGCCCGCAGGATTTACGGCCACCAGTGACATCCTCAGACCCCTTCTTTGGCGACTCGTGAGGAAATGGGGACATTTGTGGTCCCCAAAAAGCAACACTGAGGTGGTCCCGTGCCCCCTCGGTGCAAACTCTGTCCCCAGAGGTGCCACCGAGCTGGGCTCATGGGGATGTGCAGTGACCCATGCAGTGACCCATGCTGCAGAGCCAGCTCCGGTGGCCGTGTCCCAGCCTGGTGACTGCCCCCGTGGACATTGCAAGCTGCTGGCGCTGCCATCGGATGGTGGCACTGGGGTGGCATCGCTGGGATGACAGCACCGGGACTGGCCTCACCAGGATGGCAGCACCAGTGAGGCCTCGACGGGATGGTGACACTGGGACCAGCCTTGCTGGGATGGCACCAGGATGGCCTTGCCGGGATGGTGGTACCGGGACTGGCACTGGGATGGCCTCACCAAGGCAGCACCAGGATTCACCTCACCAGGACAGCACTGACTGGCCCCACTGGGATGGTGGCACCAGGATTAACCTTGCTGGGATGTCACCAGGACTGGCCTTGCTGGGATGGCACTGGAACTGGCCTTATTGGGACTGGCCTTGCTGGGATGGCACCGGGATGGTCTTACTGGGATTGACATCTCCAAGACACCGCTGGACTGGCCTCACTGGGACAGTGCTGGGATGGCCTTGTTGGGACGGTGACACCAGAACAGCACTGGGATGGCCTCACCAGGAGAGAACTGGGACTGGCCTTGCTGGGACCTCGCTGGGATGGCACCAGGATGGCACTGGGGTGACCTCCTCAGCACCTGTGACCTGTCCCTATCCTTGTCCTCACACAACTGCCCCATTCAGGGCTGGGGGACCCCAGAGCTCCCCTCCTGCCCCATCAGCCCTCAGGGGAGCCAGGGACTGGGGCTGGAGCCCTCCGTGATGGTGGTTTTGGCCACTGCTGCCTCTGGGGAGGCCGTGGGCGCTGGAGGGCTCTGCTCTGCTGTCCAGGGTCTCAAAGCTTCCATGTGCAGCAGCTCCTTTCCTCCCCTCACACCGCCAAACCTGTGGGCTGACTTCACCCCTTTGAGAAGAGATCGACCAAAATCCTGAGATCTCCACAGTTTGGCATGGCCAGAACAGAAGGGGAAAAAACCCAGGAGGGAAATAGGGTTGTGCTCAGCCTTTTATTAGCCATCAGAGAAGCCACTCCTGGCCAGGGGTGGAAAAAAGGGAGGCCAACAAATCCATAACGGTGAAGGGGGCAACTGCCCTGCCCAAGGAGGGGGTGCAGGGGGGCGAGGGGCTGCGGCTCTCACTGTCCCCTTCCCTCCTTGCAGAGCTCCTACCCCATTTGGGAGGATTTCAACTCGAAGGCCACCAAGCTGCACTCCCAGCTCAGGTGAGTGGCCGAGGCGGGGACGTGGGGAGCCCCCTCCATCCCCACGGGCACATCCCGGGGTGCCCAGCGCCCGCTGAGCTCCCCCCTCACTCTCTCCGCCCCAGGACCACAGTGCTGGCCGCAGTCGCCTTCCTGGATGCCTTCCAGAAAGTGGCCGACATGGCCACCAACACCCGAGGTAGGGTCCTCCTCACACGGGGGGTGGGTGCCCCCGGGCTTGGCTGGGCAGGGGGACGGCCGGCGAGTGTCCCCTGCGGGGTGTCCCCTGTGGGGTGTCCCCTGCCCGCGTGGCTGGGGTGGGCTTCAAGCAGAGGCTCCGGCATCCGTGGAGATGTGTCCAGGCTGGACGTGGAGCATGATGGTAAGATGGAGTGCAGCTGAATTTAGGGAACGGATGAGGTGAGCACCCATGGGGTTGCTGCTTCTCACCACCCATGGGTGCTCAGCCAGCACCTTCTGGTGGGGATAGTTTGCTTGTGGGGTGATGCAGCCTCACGCTGTGGTCCCCTGCTCCCCAGATGCACCCAGATGTGGGGCTGAGCCGCCCTCCCAGTGGCCCTCATGCCCTGCATCCACCTGGAGGGTCCTGGCTGCTCTGTGGGGGCTCTGAGGAAGGGGAATTGGATGGAGGGAGATGCAGGAGCCCATGGTTAACTCCTTCAGGGGTGAGCCCTGCCCCAGGGAGGTGACCCGAAGAGCTGCAGATGGGGCTGTGGAGTGGGGGGCCATACCCCCAGCCCCTCACTGGGTGCTCACTGGTGATGAGGAGCCGCTTCCCACCGCTCCGCTGTTGCCAGGCAGAGGGGCCGC